AGTGGTACACTTGTCTACCATGTGGCAACCCCTGGGTTTGAGCTCCAGAACTACAAAAAGTTACCAAAATGGAACTGTGGGTCAGGTGTGATGGCACATGCCTTTAATTCCAGTATTCCGTAGGGCACAGAGGCAGGCAGATCTCTGCAAATTGGAGGCCTGGGCTAGCCTGGTCTACTTATGGAGTTCCAGGCCAGTTAGGGCTACATAGCAAGATGCTGTCCAAATCAAACAAACTCCAGAAATAAAAGCAACAGATTAATCAAATGTGGCAAAATACTGTAGAATCTGGTAGGAAGGTAAAGGAGTGTTCACTAAGGTGGACTCTACTGTCCTCTGTGTTTGAAAAATATTGTCTAAAAGATAAAAAAAAAAGTACAAAGGTGCCGGTTGGAGGTGACACACACCTTTAATCCCAGCACTCAAGAGGCAAAGCCAGGCAGATCTCTGTGAGTTCGAGGGCAGCCTAGTCTACAGAGCGAGATCCAGGACAGGCACCAAAACTACACAGAGAAACTCTGTCTCCAAAAAAAAAACCAAAAAAAAACAAAACAACAAAAAAAAAAAAACCAACAACAGCAACAACAACAACAACAAAAAAGCACCAAGTCCTTCTGGATAGGACTGCAGTAGCTGCTCTATTTGGAGGTGACTTGAAACTACCCTCTTCCTTGGGTCTCCCCAAATAGACCAGGAGCAATCAGTCAGCTGAAAGCCACATGCCTACTGAGAAGATTCAGGCCAAGGTAAAGGAAATTGGTGGGTGGGCATTCCAGCCACTTTAATACAACCCAGACAGAAAGCTCCGTGGGTAAAGGCACTTGGTGCCTAACCTGATGCCCTGAATTCAATCCCTGGGACCCATCCATGCAGCAGAAAGAGAGAACAGACTAAGTTATCTACACATGTACTGTTGTATGCCCTATACACACAAAACAAACAAAAAATGTAATTAAAAGATTTAAAAAATGAAAACAGCTGGTCACGGTAGCACAGGCCTTTAGTCCCAACCAAGAGGTTGAGGCAGACCGAGTTAATAAGTTTGAGGCCAGCCTGGTTCCAGGCCAGTAAGGACTATATAGCGAGATCCTATCTCAAAACAATGAGAGAGAGACAGAGAGACAGACAGAGAGAGAGAGAGTCCTTTTGAAAAGGCAATGCTGGATTTCTGAACCAGGAACTCTACCATTGGGGTGTGTAGAAAGGAGTCTCAGAGCCAGGATGGCCAAGCGTTAGGACCACCGGGGAGCAAGAGGTCTCATCTTCCCTGGGACTGAGAGAATACTAAGGAAGGAAGGGCGGTGTGGGACATCTGCTTGGCACTGCATTTAAGGAGCAGAAACTGAGAGCAGCCATGCCAGAAGATAGGGAGGTGCTGAGGCTTAATATGAGTGAGGCCTTGGGTTCAGTCCTCAGCAACACGTTAAACATAATTTAATAGTATGGATTTCAGGCTGGAGAGATTGCTCAGAGGTTAAGAGCACTGGCTGCTCTTCCAGAGGTCCTGAGTTCAATTCTCAGCAACCACATGGTGGCTCACAACCATCTATAATAAGATATGGTGCCCTCTTCTGGTGTGCAGACAGAACATTATATACATTATATACATAATAAGTAAAAATATTTAGTATGGATTCAGTAATAAGAACTGTTTATGGAGGACAGGTAGATAGATGAGGATGAGAATTGGATCAGCAAGAGGAGCTTGTGAGTGGTGTGGATGAGGACAAAGAGGAATACCTGAATTCTCCCGGCCGAGGAATCCCTGAGTAAAAATCTCACCCACCCAGGCCTGCAGCTCAGAATCCTGAAGCACCGAGGCATCACTGGGGTAATAGTAGCTCACGATCTCGGAGACAAACCTGCAAGAAAAACAATGCTGGTGCCCCTGGAGTGAGTGTGGGTCTAGGCCGAGGCCAGACACTGAGGCCCACTGACATTCAGGGAGGGCGGAGGCAGATGGCCTTAGGAGGAGTCCCCAAAGACAGGTGAGTTCAGTGGGACCCCTAGATCTAGCTGGAACCACTGCCCAGGCTCCCCTTCAGTCCCCTCCCCCTAAACCAAGGAGGTTTTGCGTCTCCTCCAGGGAGGCAATGAAGAGGAGTCTACCTTGTTCTGCACCTGATTGTCTCAACAAGCCCTGATCCTCTGACCCCTGTGGACAAGGTGCCCCTTCCCTTCCTCAGTCAGCGGCTGTCTCACAGGGAACCTGTCCACCAGTTCCCACTCTTGAGAGTGTCTTATGCTGGGTGGAATCTGAGAACTAAAGACTCAAGAGCTCCAACTGGCATGAACACAGCAGCCCACGCTGCCCCCTGGGCCCGGAGACCTTGGTGGCTGGAAGGACCTGAGGGTCCCCACACCTCTCAATAGCCGCCCAGATCTTCAGGCCATCGTCCCGGTAGTGGTAGTTGGGGATGTTCAGGACGCCGCGAGCCCGTAGGCTATCCGGAAGGCAAAAATCCGTGTAGGTCAAGTGGGCCAGCCCTGTGCTCATGAGGTAGATGAGGCCGCGCCGACCGATGGACGTGACCTAGGGACACAACACACAGCTGGAGTTTCCAAGCTGGCTCACACCCCCACCTACAGTGTCCGGAGACCAGCTGGGACTCAGGGAGCGGCGTATGTGATTTATCAAGCAGTCAAGGACCACGAGTCAAACATTCACACGGACCTGCCCTAATGCAGGCCTCGCGGACTGAGGACCTCCAGTGTGCGTGGGAGGGGACCTTGAGGGATTGATAACTACAGGAATGACAACGCAGGATCTCAGGATCAGCTAGGAGCAGAGCTGAGCTAAGGACGTGCCCACTGAACCTACTTTTGAGGGTGTGTAGCCCACGGATGGGATTGGCTAGCTGGGTCAAGGCTTAGGGGAGGGGCAAACAGGAGATGTGCAAAGAGACGCAGCTTATGGGAAGCGGCAGGAAAAGATTACACAAGGGTCTTGGGAGCAAGAGCAAGACTTGTGGGCGGGGCAAAGCACACTTAGGGGCGGGGCCTTATGGTCGTGGCGGGGAGGCTGCACCTTGTCCACGAGGCCTTCCGGGTTGAGAAACGTGGCCCTTGCGATGGTGTTCACCTGCAGCGTGTAGCGAGTGTGGGGAAGCAGGAGCTGAGAGAGGAACGAGGTCACTCGTGAGTCGAAGGTCCGGGAAGGCCTGCCGGCCCCGCCCCCTTTCGTCCTGCCCCTGCGTCCCGCGGACCTTGTAGATTGGATGGCAGAGAGGTAGCTGACGCAGTGTGGCCATGGAGAAGGCCTCGCACAGCAAATGCGTGCACAGAAAGTGCGTGTTGTTCTCGTGCACCAAGAACTCAGAGTTTCGCACCCACGTCTTGGCCAGCAGCCAGTCCATCTCGCAGTCAGTGGGCAGAAAGATGGGGCTCTCTGGTCCCGGTGTCTGGCTGAGCTGCGTAAGACAGTAGTAAGGGGTGTGGCTCAAGCCTATTAGCCTGAGGCTCCACCCCCTAAAGTCTCGCCCCCAGGCTCACCTGGATGGCCAGCGGCAGCAGCACCCCCTGTGGGTTGAGCCACAGCAGGCAAAGCGGAGCGGCTACGTACTGTGGGCGGCCGTTTACGCAATGGACAGGGGCCTCCGCCAGGATCCAGTAATCCGCTAGGAAAATGTGCCCCCTCTACAGAAGGCACACAGAGACTTAACTAGCCCCCGCCCCGCCCCGTGTCCCTTTTTTCTCTCTGTTTTCTGCAACACGGAGGAGCTGAGGTCCCCAGGTCGCGAGATTCAGCAATTCTTGCTGCCTGCGCTAAGGGCCAGCACTCGGTACCGCACCCTTCCCAGAATGTCCGGAATGAGGTCTAGATGAGTCTGACGTTGTGTAATCCCTCACCTGGCCTCTGGGCTTGGACAAGCCAACTTCCTCTGCTCCTCCCCCAATACCTCGTCCATCCTACTCCCTCAGCTCAGAAGGAATCCCCTCCTGAGATCTGACCTCAGTGTATCCAACAACAGGAAAGTCAATACACGATGAGTTTGTCAGCCACTGCCCCAGCTTCGGAGAATGTCTGAGGGTTTGGCTGTCACAGAGAGACTAGGATGTCATCTACTCCAATCCTCAGAGTTCCTGCCCTAAAGCAACCATCTTTGGCTTCAACACTTCTTCGGATCGCTGAGACCCTAAAACAGGCCTCAGACCATCCCAAGTCCCACCTGGCCCTCCTCCGGATCTGCTCTTGAAAGGTAGACAGGAGTGCCCTGTGGGTGGGGCCCACAGGCCTGGACCATTCCGCCTCTACCCTCCACATACATCCCTGGTGCATAACGGCCACCCACCTGCCTCCCTCCTGTGAGGCCCCTCTGCCGAGACCCTCACCCACCTCTAGCTCTGTTTGTAGGCAGGTGCCTGGTCCCAGCAAAGGTGCCACCATGTCATTGGTGACAGGCAGCTTGCTTGGCAAGCTGGAGAGGCAATGGAGCATGACAGGGTTGACACCATTCAGGTACTGGTACCCGAAGAAGCTGTCCTCACACCAGTGCTCTGTGACGTACTCTGAGGGGATGGCAAGAGAGGGAACCGGTAGGTCTGGAAACGACGTTCCAAACTGGGGTCCTGCCCAGTCCTCTGCTCCTCATCATGGCTTCGGTTGTAACTACACTTTCAGTTGGATGTAACTACACTTTCAGTTGGATGCTGGACACTGAGAGCCAGTAAGGCAGTGCGGCTTGCCGGCTCGAGTGGCAAGGCTGGGATTAGAACCAAGTTCTCTCTGACCCCAAGTCCCAGAACACCTGGTGGTGGGAGCAGGGAAGGGAGTCAGGAAGGGAGTCATGTGGCCCTGACCCAAACCAGGACTTCCTAAATGACCGTGAGTCTCTTCTGGGTTTCTCTATATCCTCTCTCCTATTCTTGTCTGAGGAGGTTTCTGGGCTCCCGGGGGAAATCTAGAAAGACGCTCCTGGTGAAGCCAGGATCCCATTCCATTGGAATCCAGCAGCTGGCATGGACATGAGACACAGTAAAAGACAGGCAGCCCCCGCCTGGCTCCGCACACCTGAAGTGAAGGTCTTGTGACACCAGAAGATGTTCCGGATGTCATCCAGCTTCTTCCAGGAGCCCTTGCGGTGTAGCAGACCACGAATATTCATTCCCAAGGATCTGAGGGACAGAAGGTGAGAGCTGGGTGTGGGGACCAGTAGGAGAATCAGCAGGGCCATTCCCAATCATAAGTGCCTAGCAGCCCGCGTGGGAGAAAAGTCTAGCAAGACTTCAGGGTCCTGCTGCAAACACAGCCATGCCTGAGAGGAAGGAGCGCATGTGCGCATGTGCGGGCAGAAGTGGTACCGCCCTCACTGGTGCTTTGTCCTGCTTTCTTCAAACTTCCAAAACGCCTTTCTGACTATAAGCCCCACCGCCACGCCTGGGTAGGCCATGATGCTCCCTCCAGCAGCTTCCTATAACCCTAGCAATGCCTTCTCCCGCCCCATCCGTGCACCAGGCAAGACCAAGCCAAGCCTGTTTTCCAAACATAATCAGTGACGCGCTTCGTTCGCTCCTGGGCTGGTGAGAGTGGGGTTGACAAGCTGCGGGATGTGCTTCTTCGCCTTGTAGATGTCTCTACCGTCTGGTTTTTATTTTCCACCCATGAGCATCAGAGGGAGAAAAACATCTTGAAATAAGATTGACTCCCCTACCTCTCAAGCTGGGTCTCTGCTGGAAAGCCATCTCCTATTGCTATAGGTCAATCTGGTCTTCTAGGTGCGACTCAGACTCCAATCTGTGTGTGAAGCTTTGCCTGACCTCCCCTGAACCCCATGCCTGGGAGCATTCCCAGTGGAACTCGGCTCCGTGTATCCTGCCCATCGCCTCGTAAGCACTCACCCAATGGGCTGAACTAAAAGAAAGGGAATGGAGCTCAAAACAAGGAGGTCTGTAGCGAGGGGTCGCTAAAACAGCTATTTAGTCCCAGCTCCTTGGCTGGCTAAGGCAGGAAGGTCACATGATCAAGGCCTGCCCGAGCTACAGAGAAAAACTTCGAGAACACAGTCATGAAGGCAGAAGCTGAGGAGGCAAATAAGCAAAAACATACTTTTCCTTTCCACGGGCCTGCCGCAAATGTCCTTCCCAGTATACCTAGAAGTCATTCTTCATTTGACTCCCCCTAAATTCCTGCCTAAGAACAGCCCCCTCTTCCCTCTGACCTTACTCAGAACCCCCCAACTGGTGACCCCATTCCTGCTTAGACCTTAACATCCTTCTCAGACTCAAATCGGGGCTTCTCTACCTTCCCAGATGCCCCATGGTTCTGCCTGAGTTTGAGAATATATCCTTGTCCTGAAGTCTGAGCCACCTGCGGCTGCTGCACACACCAGTCACCACAGACCATCCTCTGTGGCCATCTACACCCTCTTTCAGCTGTCTTTTCTTTGAAAGACTCATTCTAGACACACACGTGCAGGTAGTGAAGACCCAGTTCTCGTCTTGTCTTCCTGTGGGCCCCCACATGCCACTCCAGATGAGTTTTCTCATAGAACCCTTGGCTCACCGTCCCCACCCTGGACTCAGCCGTCACTTGCTTTTCTCTCATTTCCTCCCTCCCAGGCTTGTGTCAATCCTGCCCTTCTAACCTAACGAAGAAGAGCCGCATCCTAAACCCAGCTGGCCCGCCTTCTTCACGTACCCAGGAGACCTATTGGACTCCTCCCTCTAGTCATACCACACTTAAAATCCTAGCTGTCGCCGGGCGGCGGTGGCGCACGCCTTTAATCCCAGCACTCAGGAGGCAGAGCCAGGCGGATCTCTGTGAGTTCAAGGCCAGCCTGGTCTACCAAGTGAGTTCCAGGAAAGGCGCAAAGCTACACAGAGAAACCCTGTCTCAAAAAAACCAAAAAAAAAAAAATCCTAGCTGTAGACCTAAACTGACGATGCTTGTCCTGACATCACATTAACTATACACTATATAACTATATAACATGCCTCCTTAGTGATCCCATGGATTCTCTCTACCAAAGGCATCTCCTTGAAGGGACAATCAATCGAGAGATTTTTGTGCTCGGCATTATCTTACTTGTCTTTCCTTGAAACTTACGGTGGGGGTTGGAGAGATGGCTCAGTGATTTCAGACACTAACTTCTCTCAAAGAGCCTGGGTTCAACACCAGTACGTACATAGAGCAGCTCACAACCACCTATAACTGATCTGTTGCCATCTTCTGGCCTCTGTGGGCACCTGCACACGTATGGCACACACTCACATAGACACACACATAAATTTAAAAATAATAATAAAATAAATCTTAGACTTATGATGTCAGAGTGAGTGGGTCATTTTACCCTTCACACTATTGTCCAGAGACTATGTAAAAAATTAAGGTTACATTAGGCAGGACATGATGGTGCAGGCCTTTAATCCCAGCACTCCTCTGTGAGTTCAAGGCCAGCCTGGTCTACATAGTGAGTTCCAGGGCAGCCAGGGCTATGTGGAGAGACCCTGTCTCAAAAAAAAAAAAAAATCAACAACAACAATTAAAATTACACATCCAGAAAGTATGGGCTTTGGAGTTGAACCTGAGATGATCTGGCTTCACCTTCTCAAGATCTAAGGACAGAGCCTCTCTATAGACTACTTCCTACGGTCCCTGCGGCCATGCTCTGCCCAGGGTAGTGCCCTGAGAGAAGGAGGCTGAAGGACAAGGCAAAGGGAACCTAGGAGAAAGGAAAAGAAGGTGTGGAGATCTGTGGGAGGGGAAACGGGGGGGGGGGGGGGGGGGGGGGGGGGGGGGGGGGGGGGGGGGGAGGCAGAGAGAAGGGTTGGGAACTGTGAGGTGGCCGTGGGATGAGCAGAAAGCAGGAACGGGGTTCAGAAGGGCAGGGGAAGCGGTGGCTCACACAGGAATGGCGGTGAGGATCAGCGAGGCTGTCTTGGTGGCTGAGTAGCGAATGTTGGGCTCCATGTGCAGCAGAGATGGAAGGTCAACCTTCATGGGTAAGCCAGGCACGTACCTGCTCCCAGAGCTGAGGAGAGGCAGGCGCGGAGGACAGGAACCGGTCAGTGGACCTGTAGCCTGGCCCCCTTAGTCCCTTTTCTTAGTCTTGTCCCCCAAATTTTCTAGTTCTCCGCTCACTATTATCTCAGCCTGCCCTTTCTGCTCCAGAGCAGAAGCAATGTCTTACCCTCTCCACCGAACACTTCAGGACCATCGCTGGTGCTCTCCTCAGAGGTGGACAAAACTGTACTCCTCATGGACTCTCCCTCCACGCTGCCAGACTCCATCTCAACTGTCTACATCCCTCCCCTCACCTCCTTTCCAAACGTTGGTTCTCACTTGTCATCCTGGTCTGCACAAGGGACTGTCTTGGTCAAGGCAAATTTCTTATCTGACTCCATCTCCTCAAAGCTGCTGGCATCCACCATTCGCGGGAAACCGGGGGCGTAGATCTTCCAGCTGCCCGGGGGAGAAGGCAGAACGGGTAGGGTAATCTTGGGATAAACAGGATCCTTAGCTTCTAAAAATATGACTTCAGGTGACCACTGCTGCTTTCTGCTTTCTGGATATCTTTGTGACAGAGAAAATTCTCTGTGACAAAGAGCTGGATTTTCTCTGTGATGGCTCTGAACTTCAGATAGGGAGTGACACTCGGCGTCTTGTGCCTGCTAAGCACAGACCGTACTGCTGAACCACTGACCTAAGCCCTGGAATAGCACTTGAGGGTGACATAAATTCCCACACTGATTTAGAGATGGGCTCATATTATGATTAAGATAAACTGAGTGTGGTAACACACACCCAAAATCCCAGTAATTTGAAGGTTGTGATGGGCCAGCCTGGGCTACATTGGTAACACATTCCCAACCCCAATCTCAAGAAAATAAGTAAATAAAACGTATGGTGAGTTTGAGAGTGCACTAAGATTGGTAAACTTTTGTCTGTTTTGTTTTGTTTTTTGAGACAGGGTTTCACTATGTAGCCCTGGCTGTCCTGGAACTCACTCTGTAGACCAGCCTAGTCTCGAACTCAGAGAGTTCTCTGGGATTAAAAGTGTGCACCACCGGCCGGGCGGTGGTGGCGCACGCCTTTAATCCCAGCACTCGGGAGGCAGAGCCAGGCGGATCTCCGTGAGTTCGAGGCCAGCCTGGGCTACCAAGTGAGCTCCAGGAAAGGCGCAAAGCTACGCAGAGAAACCCTGTCTCGAAAAACCAAAAAAAAAAAAAAAAAAAAAGTGTGCACCACCACTGCCTGGCAAGAATGGTAGATTATTATTAATACTGTTTCCAATATGGGGATCTGGCTAACATCAGGGGAAGTCAGAGGATGAGAATGGTTAATGGTGTTGGATTTGGGGTTTGTTTTGTTGTTGTTGTTGTTGTTTAAAGGGGGATTGTTTGTTTGTTTTTTGTTTTTCAAGACAGGATCTCTCTGTGCCTTTTCTATCCTGGATCAGGCTGGCCTTGAACTCACAGAGATCCACCTGCCTCTGCCTCCCAAGCGCTGGGATTACTGCCTGGCAGATTTGGGATTTTATGTGAGTGTGTGAGGGATCAAATTTGGGGCCTAGAGAATGCAGGTAAGCTCTCTACTCCTGAGCTAGAGCTACATTCCCAGCCCAAGATAACTGTTGGTATTGGCATTCTGGGTCCAGACTCGGAGTCACTGTTAGAGTGGGATTGAGTTCCCACATTTTTTTTTTTTTTGGTTTTTCAAGACAGGGTTTCTCTTGTGTAGCTTTGCTCCTTTCCTGGAACTCACTTGGTAGCCCAGGCTGGCCTCGAACTCACAGAGATCCGCCTGGCTCTGCCTCCCGAGTGCTGGGATTAAAGGCGTGCGCCGCCACCGCCCGGCTGAGTTCCCACATTTTTAACCGAAGTCAGAGTTAGGAACAATCTGAGTAAGGCTGAAGTGTGAATAAAGATGGGGCAAAAAGTCAAATTAGGCCGCCCTCACCGATAGCATTCCTGGCGGGCCTGGAGTTCCCGTTTCCTGTGGTCCAGAAGGAGGGGGAGAGAGTCCTGACAGATGGTTCTTGCTGTAGGAAATGAAAACCACTCTGCATATACATCTCTTTTCAAACAGTGCTCCCTACTGCAAGTGATGTCTGAACCCTCTTGAGAGCAGTCTGCGCTGACTCCGTGTGCATCTCTTCGGGAATGTCCGCCCACTCTTTGTTTGTTCATCGTGGATTTGAAGTCTTACCACATCCCTCACTGTTCACAATTGCCTCCTTTCTAGATAATACTCTCCTTGAGGACAGAAGTCATGTCCCACTCATTGTTTGCCCTTCCAGTGTCTGGCGTGGCGCCTGGCATCACGTTCATAGCCTACACTGGATGACTGCTGAATAAATACATTTTAATAAAGCCCTCATGTTCTCTGGTGGTGAGTGGGGACTGATAATAAAGTCCATGGAAAGTGCACTGTAGGCTGTGAAATGATGTTCACTTTAACGCAGAATACCCTTCTCTCATCTCTGGGACATATCACAGCACACACACACACACACACACACAGAGATACACACAAGCAACCCTAGTGTTGTCTCTGTGGAACAGACACTTCTGGAAGCAGAAAGGCCTCACACCAGTATCCTTGAAATTCAAAATTCAACAAGAGAGCCTAACTCACTTCCCAGACACTTCATCCCCACCCGAAAAGCTAGAAGGAAGTAGGGCACAGGGTCTTGGTGGCTAAAGTCTCTAAATGCCCATGGCTTTCCCACCTGTTGAAATCAGGTTGTAAGTTAAATACATTTTGAGCTCTAGAAGAACATGTTCTGGGGAAATGCAGAGGGATGCCATGGGATGTCAGCTGCCTGGTGTGAGATTATCTGCCTGCATCTGCTGTCTCTGTCTATGTGTGCCTATCTGTGTGTGCCTGTCTGTCTGTGTGCGCCTGTCTGTCTATGTGTGCCTGTCTGTGTGTGCCTGTCTGTGTGTGTGCCTGTCTGTGTGCGCCTGTCTGTGTGTGCCTGTCTATGTGTGTGCCTGTCTGTGTGTGCCTGTCTGTGTGTGCCTGTCTGTGTGCGCCTGTCTGTGTGTGCCTGTCTGTGTGTGCCTGTCTGTCTGTGTGCGCCTGTCTGTGTGTGCCTGTCTGTCTGTGTGCGCCTGTCTGTCTATGTGTGCCTGTCTGCCTGTCTGTGTGTGCCTGTCTGTGTGCGCCTGTCTGTGTATACCTGTCTGTGTGTGCCTGTCTGTCTGTGTGCGCCTGTCTGTGTGTGCCTGTCTGTCTGTGTGCGCCTGTCTGTGTG